ATGCATTCTTGCAATTCATTTACCTCAAGTGTTTGGGAACTCAGAACCTATTTTCCTATAGACACCCATGTTACAAAGAGAGAGATGATCCAAGTAATAATATTCAGTATTTAATAGTTTTTATTTTAAATATTGAAATTAAAATCATTGTTTAGTATTCAGATGAGTCCTCTTCTCTCTCTCCTCCACCCCATGCCCTCACTCCTTTACCTTTCTCCCTGTTTCACATTCCCTCCCATTCTTCCATTCACTCCCAATCTCTGATTTACTACAACATGCTTTACATTTGCTCTCCACTCTCTCATTAATAAGAGTGAGAATATTATGTATGTGGGCATATGATATAGGAAAAAAGAGTGGTGAGGATAATTGCATGGGGAGGGTAGGTGGGTTATTGTGAGAGTATAGTAAGTTGAGCCAAGGTAGGTAGGAAAGAGAGTTTTCCCCCATCCTCATCCTCTCCCTAATGGCCATCAATGAAAAAGTGCCATTGTCTTACCTTTTTGAAAGGCAGGTACTTCAGGTCATGACAATAATAATAATAATAATAATAATAATTTATTTCAGCATGATACAGACCCATTACAAATTGTAAGTTGCTGGAATGCTTAGCTAACGAAAGTTTAGTTTGGTACTTAGAAACCTGAATTCTTTCTCCCCTCATTAATTTGGTTTTCATAAAGGCAGTTCTACCATCAACCCATAATCTGCTTGGTTATTTACATTCATAATGCCTTTGCTAATAATCGATGCTATCCAGAAATTTGACTTTCTCATCCCATCATCCTTCATTTGGTTATTTTGCATTTTTAGTAAGCCCATAGTAGTAGTATTTTGCTGGGTCCCTGGACATGCCAATATTCAGGGCAGTGAATATGCAGACTCAGTCAGTCAGTCAGCTATTCAAGACCTCCTGATTTCCCATACGAGTATTCCTTACTTGGACTATTTTTTGTGCATTCTCAACTTTTCTGCAACCATTGGCAACAATTATTGGTCCATGTTAGACCACAACAAATTGTCCTCTTTCAAACAACAATTAAGATTCTGGTTATCTTCCCACTATTGTTAGGTTTGGGAGACTGCACTCTTGCCCTTACGTCTTGGACAAGTGTGACTCAGGGATACCACATAGAGAAATGACTGGCACCACTCTGTGAGGACTGTGAAGTTGCATTGTCCATTCAATGTATCTTAATAGATTGTCCTGTCTATCAGGGCATATGCAGGATCCACTTCCAATGTCTAAACTGTGCTAACATACTTCGCTGATCTCCTCTTTGATACGGATTCTCTGGCTTTTTTAATGGAAAGTAGCCTATTGCACCAACTTTGATTTCACTTTTACTATTGCAGTAACCATCCACCTCCACTAACCACTAACTTTTTATGTCCCTACCCCTAATTCCTAACCTCCACATATTTCTACTTTCAAACATTTCTTGCTGCAGTGGTGTATGACACTTAGGGTTTAGCACTTAAATTTATTTTAATAATCCCCAATGGTCAGCAGCCCAGGACCATGGCCTGCCCCCACCCATTTCCTTGTCTTACCTGTCTGCTAACCACTGATAGGTACTAGATGTGGAAAATGTAAGTCATACCCAGTAAAGAGCATGGGGTGCCAAGGCACAACAAAAAGACATTTGTGCCAACATTCACGGATCTCAGTTATTCAACCTGCTGCTCACAGATACGTATCAGAAATATTGCAGTAACGAGCAGAAGTCTTCAAGAGGTAACTTGACAAGTTCATCCTGCAAGTGCTGAATCAACCAGCCTGTGATGGAAATGTGCACCAGTGGACCACTGGCATCCACAGCCTCATTGACTAAGCAATGACCAGGCAGGCATGGCCCAGGCTGGGCTGCAGGAGTGGGGAAGCACTAAATCTGTCAAAGGTATATAAAAAGTGGATAGCTCTGCTAAAGTAAGCAATAAACCTACAGTTCTTTACCAATCTCTGCCAAACAACATAGACTCCACACATGCATAAAATTAATGAATACAAACTACCAGTGCATTTAGTGAAAAATGTTAAGAAAAAATTGAAGATAACTTGTTTAAATATTTTCAGTAATATCCTCAGATCAATGGTTGCAAGTTATTGATTCCATAGTGTGCTGATCATAAGTACAAATGATCATCAGTTGGTGATCTGTTGTATATACAAAACCAGGCATAGTAAGCTTGCCATAAACATGCACATATGCATTGTTGCTGTTTATTCTTAAGGAGTAGAATGGTATCAAGTAAATTTTATGTACACATGTATTACCCTTCCTTTAATTCACTTCTTAACCCTTTCTCTGTTGTGACCCCAAAATTAAAAGTCCCATCATTTGCAGAGTTTAAAAATAAATCTTCTAGAATGATAGACTATCTTTTTCTAAAGGTCATGACAGCAAAAATGCAAAATTTGATGTAAAACTTATGGACTTGAGCAGGTGTAAATTTGGAAGTTGGGAGCACCCTACACAACAATGATTTCACTCTGAGGTCTATTTTAGGCCAATTCCATTCCTCAAACTGACCTAATTCCTGGCTATTTTGCTAGTATGCCTTCCATTCTATCAATTAAGTGCAAGAACCTGGCCATTCAATTATCAGAACTACCCTAAAAAAAAAGTCCCCAGAAGTCTGTAATATGGCCAATTTTACACAAAATTCAAATTTAAAAATAGAGTCCAAAATAAACATTATAGGAATTCCAGCCACAATATCAACTTTATCTCTGTTCATTAATTACATCCAAAGACCCCTTCTACATAACACTTGCCTTTCATTTTGAATCCATCATCACACACACAAAATTTAAATTTTACACTATTTCTTGGCTAATAAATATAACCAAGAATTATTGATCATTGTTTAGGCCACCTAAATAACTGAAGCATACCTAGTGAAAACCGGTAAAACAGTAGGGGGGGGGGCTACCCTTCTTAGGAAAATCGCTGAAAATCAAATATTTTTGTCACATTGAGGTCTATTTTACTAGTTTTTTTTTGGTCTATCAATTGGCAGAAAGAAACAGCCAATAAAACTATGAAAACCACTCTAGAAAATGCCTTAGTCATTTGAACCCAGATACAAGGTCATAGGTTAACTGTTACCGTCATGCACTATGGGGGGTTACTGGATTTTTTTTTTTTTTTACACTGTGCATACACACCCATTCTCTTATGTCTAGGGCAAAATTTACCACTCACAGCATATTTGAGGGTGCTATGATTAAGAAGTACATATACACAAGTAGCACTGGCCTCAAAACCGTATATACAGTAGAACCCCCATATCAGCAGTTTCAGTTATCCACAGTTTACTGTGGGCCAAAAATAACTTTTAATTTTGCTTAATAATGGCCACAAAGCACAAAAGTAGGGATGATGGCTATTCTTCAAAGCCTAAGAGAAGCAGTGAAGTGCTTCCCATCAGTGAAAAAGTGATAATTCTAGACTTATTGTGTGTGATATATTAATTAAACTTTATCATAGGTATGTATGTAAATGAAAAATGACTTATTTGTAGGGTTCGCTACTATCCACTGTTTGAGGTATCCGTGGTAGGTCTTGGAACGTATCCCCCATGGATGAGGGGGGACTATTGTATACATGGAAGAGAGTGAAAGGGTCACTAACTTCGCTTAAATATTCATCTCCTTCTCATGTGCTTGGCAGGTAGTCAAAAGATAGGTATGTAGATTCTTTAATATTAAACAACCTTATTAGGAATTATCTTTAGGAACATGAAATACACATAGCATGTTACCTTAATGTGTAGGCAATTGGGAAGCTTATCTCTTAAACATATATTTTTTTATTATTAATGTAAATGCCTTATACAGTGGAACCTTGGTTTTCGTATGCCTTAGTTTTTGTGTGATTCGGTTTTCGACGACTTTTTTCGTTGAAAATTTGTCCCAGTTTTCGTACATCCGCTCGGTTTTTGTACAGTTGAAAATTATCCATACCAAACTCGTCCGCCTGCTCACGTGACTCAGCCACTCATTTCCCGGAATCAAGCACCCACACAAAGCATCCCATGCATTCACAATTTTGAAGGGTTTGAGGCTGACCCTACGCCTGTTGTGGAATCTATTGTGTCTTTGGGGAAGTTCATGGGGTTGGATGTGAGTGGCCAGGATGTGGAAGTGGAAGAGTTAGTGGACGACCACAGGGAGGAGCTAACCACTGAAGAATTGCAAGACCTTCAACTGGAACAGCAACAGACCACAGCTGAGGAAATTGCTTCACAGGAGGAGGAAGAGAGAGGGGAGAATGTGCCTTCTTCAGTGATCAAGGACACATGTGCAAAGTGGAATGGCTTGCAAAGTTTTGTGGAGAAATATCACCCTAACAAAGGTGTTGCAAGCCGTGTCTGCAACATGTTCAATGATAATGTCTTGTCCCATTTTAGGCAAAACTTAGAGATGCCAGAAACAGACCTTTCTGGACAGATTTTTTGTGTGATGGGTATGGTTACTCTCAAGCTGGTTCTAGTGCCAGTAAAAGACAAAGATACCTGAATTCCTTATGGATGGGGATTCCCCTTCCAAACAATACCCTCTCCTCCTCCCTCTCCCCTCCTCGCTGTCTTCCATACGTCAACAAGAGTCTTCATTAAAGTTAAAAGTGATGTTAAATGTTCATTTATCCATTTCATTAGTCATTTATATTTATTTCTCATTGTTTTCTGTATGTAAAACTATAGTTATTCTCTATGAAATGTATTTTTTGTGGTGTCTGGAACGGATTAATTGGATTTACATTATTTTTTATGGGAAATATTGCTTCGGTTTTCGTTGGATTTGGTTTTTTGTTAGACTTTCTTGAACGGATTAATCACAAAAACTGAGGTTCCACTGTAAATTGTTTTATGCTACACAAACGTTTATTGCCAGAAGTTTATCACACATATTTCCTTGATTTTATTCAGTTATTTTTGAGAACTATGAAGATGGTATGATTTGTGTGAAGGTCTCACATAATGTCTTTCTTCAGCTTTCTCCAGGATGTGCAGTACCGTTCTTTAATGATCAACAGCGCCAACTATAATGTTCGACTCATGCGCGAACGCAAAACTCGCCTCCCATTTCTTGATTCACAAACAGGTTAGTGTTTCCAATCCTTTTATTATTTCTCTGTATTGCTGTTTTTACAATATCTAAAGATGTTGATAAAGAATTTGTTGTGATTTTTTTGTATATACAATATTTAAATGGATTTGGAACCAAGTATTCCAATTAATTCGGTCTGCATTCTTCCTAATAGAAATACAGTAAATTCTCTAAAGAATAAAAAAGCACAATACTATGACTGGAACAGTACACAAATAACTCGCCCATAGGAGACTGAAATGTTGTCATGAGTTTGTCTATGTACAGGCTATTTGTGGAAATTCTCTAAAAAAAAATGCACTTTGATAGCTTATTTTTGATAGGACACTATTCACATTTCTGTTTACTAAATATTACTAAGCAGTTTTGTATGACTATATGTGCCATAAAGTTTTAAAGAGGTGGCTCAGGCATGAAAATGCTTCTGTTCAGAGATTTCTACAGCCTGAGGAAAAATGGCTCAATATGGGCTATGCTGTAGTAGCCTATAAATATACCTCAACAGATGACCCAGCTGATAAACAATGGCATCCTGAGGCCCTTTGAAAAAAAAAAGCATAGCTATGAGAAGCAATATGGATTGGGATTAATACCCTAAGAACTATCAAAAAGAGATACTATCACACTCATAAAGACCGTAAAGAAATCAAAACAAATATATTATGCCAACAAACTCGGTCAAATTAAAGAAGATAAAAGAAAAAACTGGAAAACACTTTCTCAAATGTTGGGAACAAGATTAAGATTAAGATGTTTATTTTGACATGATACATGGTTGTACAGAGGAATATAATAGTTGAGTGTACATGCCAAAAGCCCCTTTGTATGCATAGCATTATGGGCAAACTTAAAGATTAACTTAAGATTAGGAAGGCAATAATAGTTCATATGATCATTAGATGAGTTTCCAATAAGTGCAAGAGAATTGAATATTCTATCAGGTAATGCAACGTGGCTTTGATAAGTCTAGTAGAGTAGAGAATTATTACACTATTGAATTAGTTTATAAAGATTGCAGTATTACAATGGAACAACTTAAAACAATTTACAGTGTATGATGTATTATAGTTTTGTACTATTTAAAACAATGAAATTTGGTATTGCAATGGAACAGTTTAAAAACAATTTACCTTATGATATATTACAATTTAGTACTATTTAACCCTTTCAGGGTCGAGAGGCCCTCTCCTAAACTTGCTCTCAGGGTCGAAAATTTTTCCCCCCCAAAAAATTATTTTTTCTTATGAAATGATAGAGAATCTTTTCCCGACCATAATGACACCAAAGGTATGAAATTCGATGGAAAATTTATGGAATTATACTCTCGCAAAGTTAGTGGTCTCGCTGATGTTTACGCATCGGCGATTTCTCCCACTTTGAGCCCTATTTTCGGCCAATTCCTGTGTACTAGTCGACAAAAGTCATGTTTATTTTGCTAGAACTCCAGTTTTTCTATCGAATAAGTACAAGAAACCACCCACTTACCAATGTCAACTATCCAGTAAAGTGGTTAGAAATTGGCAATTTTGCCAATTTCACACAAATTTCAGGAGATACCAATTTCCAAATAGGGTCCAGAATAAACAAGAAAGACATTCCTGGCACTAAAATAACAAGTTCTCTGTTTGTTAGTCATGTCCCCAGGCCCCTCTTATATTTCTTTTGCTTTCCACTTTGAAATTTTATTCTTACAAAAAATAGAAGATTTACTGTTATGCAGAGTACTGCATTAGTGTAGAAATGGTATAAATAATATCAGCGCACTTGTGAAAGAATATTAGACTCACCAGTTGACGTGTATTGGACGCTTGGCATGATTTGTTTACTTTTGAACTTTGGTAAAAATCGAACATTTCTGCTACTTAGAGCTCAATTTCAAGGTACTTTTCATTGTGAAACCAATCAAAATCATCTCAATTTCTGTAATATGTCTTCCATTCTATAAAATGAGACCAGGAAATCTAGAATACAACCATAAATACCATACGAAAATACAGTGCAAAGTCGCTGTTTTAATCCAAAAACACGGTCAAAGTTTTTTTTTTCTCATTACACACTGTGTGCTGCAGGATTTTTTTTATACTGTGCACACTGGCCACATAGACCCAGTCTTTCATATGTAGGCCTACCAGCTTTCTCTTGCTAGATTTGAAGGCGTTAGAATTTAGGCATTCTAGTACGCCAATAATCCTGGTGCGTAAGCTGTACTAGTATGTCGAAAACCCTGAAAGGGTTAAAACAATGAAATTTAGATATCCTAATTTTGAAGTAGTAAGTGGCTGAGCATTCATCAGTAACTGGTAGTGATTAGGTTATGGTTCACCGAGTCCAAAGAATTAGTTCTAAATAAATCCATTGATGCTCCCCTCCAATTCTCTTGAATCTGATTTATTTAATGGGATGCTGAAATGTGGGTTTGGGGTTAAAAATTTTGTCAGAGTGCATTTGGAGAAATACACAATTGCTCTGCATGATCATGCAGAGCTAATAGATGACATGACCTTTCATAAGGAAGAAAGGTCGTGTCGTCTATTAGTGTACCCTAAGTGCATCCTTTCAGCTTGGCACCCAGAGCCGGCCTTAGGAGGTACGGGGCCCAATTGGGAACAGTTTTGGTGGGCCCCATGTATGAAAAGCAATCAGTCTGTGCACTTAAAAAAATGCATGCGAGTTAATGGACCAAACAGGTGTAAGCTACATTTTAATATAAAATTGCATACATGTAAGTCTACAAGTAACAAACAAAAATTTGTACATCACCTCTGAGAAGTACAAAGTCACAATAACACTTGCTTTAGTGACTGAAATGATTTATTAAAAATATTAATTTGTTTTTGTTCTGAAAAAAGGTCAGAATTTAAGTGCACTGTTGGAAACAAATTATCTTTTTTGGACTTCTAAAAATCACTTAATATTCATAAACTATAAATGAGTCATATTATTTATTATTGCCTTTTATTAGGAGAAAGTTCAATTTTTTGCTTTTTTTCTCTGCAAAGTCTTTCAGAACTTTGTTAAAGTTTAAACTCCTGCTAATTTCAGATTCAGTGGACGTAATCGCCAAACTGTTCAAACGTTTTTGCTGAATTGATGATCTCTAGTAATTTTGATCAGTTTCAGCTTGGAAAAACTTTTCTCCAGATGCCACAGTCACTGGGATTGTCAAGAAAATCTGAAGAGCAATAAATAAATTTGGAAATGTGGTAGACCTGTTGTTGCAAGCAAGGAATTCAAGCATTTTCATGGGGTTTTGAATCTCTGATGGCAGAATTGACTTTAGTGCCTCCATTTCCTCACAAAGCATGTATGCATCTATATCAGCCAGTTTTATGGTTTTAACTTGATCTCTTTCCTGTGCCACCTTGACCTGTCTGTGCCACTTGCAGATCTGCTGCACATTTTCTAATGGTGTCCTTGGACAGCCCTCTTCTTACTGCCACTTAAATAGTTTCTTCTGATGTTTCTTGGTCTTTTACTCATTTACAGAAACCACAGGATTCTTAAAAAAAAGATAAAGAAAATAAAAGTGGCATCCATCACAGAACTGATAAAAAAAAACCAGCATACTGTTTTTAAAGTCCGATGTTGGGTACAGTCGACACCTCATCAGGCAACTTCGTCACCGCTTTCGGGGAAATTCGCCAACATGTTATATCCAAAGCTTCTCTTTTTACTTCGTGTTGTGTGTACTTGACAAGCTGAAAGTAGATTACACTCTAGCATGGGGCCCCCTTAGGTGTTGGGCCCAATTGGGAGCAATCAGTCCAATTGGCTTAAGGCCAGCCCTGTTGGCACCTATGTGTTGACTGGGCCCTACCCTGTGGGCAAGCCAGGGTTTGAAACTAGAAGTCAGTTTCAGTGACTTTTATATTCCCAAGCCATGATACTGCACACATCTGTTCTTTGTTGTGCAGGCCATTTATGCTTCTTTGCTTCTTGTGTTAGATTTGAAGATGGTAGCTATTTGATGCAAATTTGTGTCACTGGTACACGTGCCATGACTTAAATTCATGCCATCATTACTTAAGAGTTAAATGTAGCCTAGTCTCTATGATAATGTAGTTTGTAATGAACAGTATTAATTACTTTTTGTTAATTCTCCCTAGGTATTGCTCAGAATCCATGTAAATTATACATGAGTGCTCGTCATCGCATGCCTGGAACTATTGAGGGTCAGCTCTATGTGTATCCCTCCCAGAGATGGTGTTGTAGAAAACGATCCTACATGGCACTCGCTCATCAGGTATTTACAGCATCTATGCAGCATCATGCATCAACATTGATGATGCTACCAGCACTTTTAGATTATTTATGTAATATATAAGATTCACTGTTGTTACTGAGATTTGCCACAACTTCTAAGGCTGAGTTGTTTTAATACATTAATTATAAGCCATATTTTTTGCCTCTAATTATTTATTTCATTATTTTTTAATTAATTTTCATGTTACACTGTGTTCACTCTGGAGAATCTAATTCGTTAACTCTTCAGTTAAAAGTATGTTGTAAATGAGAGTGTATTCCTGCGGTACTGTTCTGCATTTACCTATATGTACATGTGTGGATGAAATTTACATGTATGCTTTATAATGGTCAAAAATTCATTGAAGACAGTTCGGGCATTATCATTTTAACCTATAAAAGTAAGCACTATCATAGGTGTTTTTTTTAGGTGAAGTTATCTAGCCAGGCAGTATCCAGTAGTTTATGGGGCACAATGCTTATATCACTTTGTCATATTAATAAATTGCTCTGGTCAGACATAAGCGGGTAAAATTTTTACTGGTGATGACTTCTTTCTGTAGTTTATCTTCACAGTAAGTGTGAAGTAGAACTCTTAGTGCCAGGAAAACTGTACTTGTCTACAAGAAAGGTTCGCATTAATCACATGCTAAAATAGCATACTTCTCTTTTCTTTGGCCTACAGCACTGGCTCTTAAAAAAGGTACTTATGAATGGCTAAAATTTAAATATATAAGGCATGATTTTTATAGTTTCTTATGCATGTTATAGTACCAACTAGATAATGTTTGGCTTCTATGGTTTAACAGGCATGTTTTGCCATATATTATTAGGATACCAGGCATGCCACTGGTTATTATGTGAATAAATAACAAAAAAGTGGTTTTAGAGGACTGTAGTAATATACAATACAATATCTGGCTTGCCAAGCATGACAAATTTGCTATGCCTATAATTAAAACAAGCTAAATATAATATTCTGTTGCTGATAATTACAATTTTAGTAAGCTGTTAGTTATACATTGCATTATTAGTTTGTGGTAGTTTTCTTAACATGAACTAGGACTAAATGGCTGTTTTAAATTGTAAGGAGAGAGAATAAGATATCAGTGTCAGTGAGTGTGTTGCTGTCCTCTTCAGAATACAGTGCATGCAGCTATGCAATATATACATACGTCATGTTTGGTATTAGCTGGAGTGGAAGGCACATAATTGCATCATAATATATGCAAGAGTGGTTGTTGATCAGATCTGATTGATGCACCATTATTATGGGATATTTTAAGATAAATTGTTTACAAAGTAACTCTGTAAATTGCTGGTTGAAGTCACCGAATCTTCAAGAATTCTCCAGCAAGACTTGTAGAAGAAACGAGGCCTCTGACATTTCTTTCCTCTGATATCATGTCTAAAATAAATACATATATATATACATACATACATTTTTTTTTTTTTAACTAGTCGGCCATCTCCCACCGAGGCAGGGTGACCCAACAAGAAAGAAAATCCCCAAAAACAAAATACTTTCATCATTATTCAACTCTTTCACCTCACTCACACATAACCACTGTTTTTGCAGAGGTGCTCAGAACACAACAGTTTAGAAGCATATACATAATAAGATACACAACATATCCCTCCAGACTGCCAATATCCCAAACCCCTCCTTTAAAGTGCAGGCATTGTACTTCTCATTTCCAGTACTCAAGTCCGGCTATATGAAAATAACCGGTTTACCTGAATCCCTTCACTAAATATTACCCTGCTTACACTCCAACAGATCGTCAGGTCCCAAATACCATTCGTCTCCATTCACTCCTATCAAACACGCTCATGCACGTCTGTTGGAAGTTCAAGCCCCTCGCCCACAAAGCCTCCCTTACCCCTTCCTTCCAACCTTTTCGAGGACGACCCCTACCCTGCCTTCCTTCCCCTACAGATTTAAACGCTCTCCATGTCATTCTACTTTTATCCATTCTCTCTAAATGACCAAACCACCTCAACAACCCCTCTTCAGCCCTCTGATTAATACTTTTATTAACTCCACACCTTCTCCTAATTTCCACACTCCGAATTTTCTGCATAATATTTACACCACACATTGCCCTTAGACAGGACATCTTCACTGCCTCCAACCGCCTCCTTGCTGCTGCATTCACAACCCAAGCTTCACACCCATATAAGAGTGTTGGCACTACTATACTTTCATACATTCCCTTCTTTGCCTCCATAGATAACATTTTTTGTCTCCACATAGTGGGTTGGTTGACAGCATCCACCCAGGGGGGTACTTCCGTCCTGCCAAGTGAGTGTGAGACGAAAGCCTGTAATTGTTTTACATGATGGTAGGATTGCTGGTGTCTTTTGTCTGTCTCGTAAATATGCAAGATTACAGGTACGTCTTGCTACTTCTACTTACACTTAGGTCACACTACACATACATGTACATGTTTATTTATACACACTCATCTGAGTTTTCTTTGATTTTATCTTAATAGTTTTTGGCCTTATTACTTTTCCTTTTATATCCATGGGGAAGTGGAATAAGAATCTTTCCTCCGTAAGCCATGTGTGTTGTAAAAGTCAACTAAAATGCCGGGAACAATGGGCTAGTTACCCCTTTTCCTGTAATAATTACTAAAAAGAATAAGAAGAAAATTGTCAAAGTGAGAAGTCTGAATGTGCGTGGATGTTGTGCGAATGATAAGAAAGAGATGATTGTGGATGTTATGAATGAGAAGAAGCTGGATGTCCTGGCTTTAAGTGAAACAAAGCTGAAGGGGCTGGGAGAGTTTCAGTGGAGAGGAATAAATGGGATTAGGTCAGGGGTTTCAAATAGAGTTAGAGCTAAAGAAGGAGTAGCAATAATGTTGAAGGATAAGTTATGGCAGGAGAAGAGGGACTATAAATGTATTAATTCAAGGATTATGTGGAATAAAATAAAGGTTGGATGTGAAAAGTTGGTTATCGTAAGTGTATATGCACCTGGAGAAGAGAGAAGTGTAGAGGACAGAGAGAGATTTTGGGAAATGTTGAGTGAATGCTTGGGGAGTTTTGAACCAAGTGTGAGAGTAATGGTGGTTTGGGATTTCAATGCTAAAGTGGGCAAAAATGTTGTGGAGGGAGTAGTGGGTAAATTTGGGGTGCCAGGGGTAACTGAAAATGGGGAGCCTTTAACCCTTTGACTGTTTTCGACGTATAAATACGTCTTACAAGCCAATGTTTCTGACGTATATATACTCAATAATTCTAGTGGCTTCAAATCAAGCGGGAGAAAGCTGGTAGGCCCACATGTGAAAGAATGGGTCTGTGTGGTCAGTGTGCACCACATAAAAAAATCCTGCAGCACACATTGCGTAATGAGAAAAAAAAAACTCTGATCGTTTTTTTGGAATAAAACGCCGACTTTGAGGTGTATTTTCGTATAGTATTTATCGTTGTATTCGCGTTTTCATGGTCTTAGGTGATAAAATGGAAAACATATTACAGAAATAGAGATGATTTTCATTACTTGGACGATGAAAACGACCTTGAAACTGAGCTCAAAGTAGCGGAAATGTTCGATTTTTACCAATGTTCAAGAGTAAATAAATCACACCACACGTCCAATACACGTCAACTGGGGAGTCTAATATTCTTTCACTAGTGCACTGATATTATTTATACCATTTTTACAATAATGCAGTAGTCTGCATAACAGTAAATTTTGTATTTTTTTGTATGAATAAAAAATCAAAATAGAAAGCAATAATAATATAAGAAGGGCCTAGAGATGTGACTAATGAACAGAGCATATGTTATTTTAGTGCCAAGAATGTCTACCTTGTTTATTCTGGACCCTATATTGAAATCGGCATCTTTTTTAGTTTGCGTGAAATTGGCCAAATTGCCAATTTCTGACCACCATATTGGGTAGTCCAAATTAGTAAATGGGAGGTTTCTTGTACTCAGCTGATAGATAAAATGGAGTTCTAAAGAAATAGCTATGAGTTTGGTCAACTGGAACAACGGAATTGGCTGAAAATAGAGCTCAAAGTCGGCGAAACCGCCGATACGCATATGTCGCCGAGACCGCTAACTTCGCGGGAGCATAATTCCATGAGTTTTCGACCAAATTTCGAACTTTTGGTGTCATTACCATCGGGAAAAGATTCTCTATCATTTCATAAGAAAAAATAATTTTTTTTTTTTTTTTCAAAAATTGAGCGACAAAGAATGACAGTTTCAGAAAGGGGCCTGAAACAGTCAAAGGGTTAATTGTGCTATATGTAGAAAGAAATTTTTTCCCAGTAAAAGTAGGCCTTAGACAAGGATGTGTGATGTCACCGTGGTTGTTTAATATATTTATAGATGGGGTTGTAAGAGAAGTAAATGCGAGGGTCTTGGCAAGAGGCGTGGAGTTAAAAGATAAAGAATCACACACAAAGTGGGAGTTGTCACAGCTGCTCTTTGCTGATGACACTGTGCTCTTGGGAGATTCTGAAGAGAAGTTGCAGAGATTGGTGGATGAATTTGGTAGGGTGTGCAAAAGAAGAAAATTAAAGGTGAATACAGGAAAGAGTAAGGTTATGAGGATAACAAAAAGATTAGGTGATGAAAGATTGAATATCAGATTGGAGGGAGAGAGTATGGAGGAGGTGAACGTATTCAGATATTTGGGAGTGGACGTGTCAGCGGATGGGTCTATGAAAGATGAGGTGAATCATAGAATTGATGAGGGAAAAAGAGTGAGTGGTGCACTTAGGAGTCTGTGGAGACAAAGAACTTTGTCCTTGGAGGCAAAGAGGGGAATGTATGAGAGTATAGTTTTACCAACGCTCTTATATGGGTGTGAAGCGTGGGTGATGAATGTTGCAGCGAGGAGAAGGCTGGAGGCAGTGGAGATGTCATGTCTGGGGGCAATGTGTGGTGTGAAATAATGCAGAGAATTCGTAGTTTGGAAGTTAGGAGGAGGTGCGGGATTACGAAAACTGTTGCCCCAGAGGGCTGAGGAAGGGTTGTTGGGGTGGTTCGGACATGTAGAGAGAATGGAGCGAAACAGAAGACTTCAAGAGTGGTATCAGCCCTGTAGTGGAAGGAAGGCGGGGTAGGGGTCGGCCTGGGAAAAGGGTTGGAGGGAGGGGTAAAGGAGGTTTTGTGTGCGGGGGGCTTGGACCTTCCAGGAGGCAGCATGAGCGTGTTTGATAGAGTGAATGGAGACAAATTTTTTTTTAAATACTTGACGTGCTGTTGGAGTGTGAGCAAAGTAACATTTATGAAGGGATTCAGGGAAACCGGCAGGCCGGACTTGAGTCCTGGAGATGGGAAGTACAGTGCCTGCACTCTGAAGGAGGGGTGTTAATGTTGCAGTTTAAAAACTGTAGTGTAAAGCACCCTTCGGGCAAGACAGTGATGGAGTGAATGATGGTGAAAGTTTTTCTTTTTCGGGCCACCCTGCCTTGGTGGGAATCGGCCAGTGTGATAATAAATAAAAAATAATAAAAATGTAGAAAGAGGTTGGTAATAAGTAATACATATTTTATGAAGAAGAGGATAAATAAATATACAAGGTATGATATCGCACCTAATGAAAGTAGTTTGTTAGATTATGTATTGGCGGATAAAAGGTTGATGGGTAGGCTCCAGGATGTACACGTTTATAAATGGGCAACTGATATATCGGATCATTATTTAGTTGTAGCTACAGTTAGAGTAAGAGGTAGA